ACCAACTTGCCCCTAGGAATGACGGTGCTAGAAGTAGCAGCTCTAGGCCTGATCCTCAGGCAGAGATACAGAGGATTTCTGTAGAGTTAGCACAAGCTACTAGGGATAGGGCCTTGGATGTCATCCAGGTAGGAGAATTACAGGATCAATTGAGGCGTCTCACCACCGCTCACAGGAACTACGAATGTATGTTAGTTCGTATGGTGGACAGAAGAAATGAAGCTTGGCATAGAGAAAATGTAGCTAGAGCTAGAACTCATGAGCTAGAATTCTATGTAGGAGATTTAGAAGAACATAATACTTATCTGCATGAAGAAGTTCATAGGCTAAGCAACCTCCTGATCCAAATCATGAACCTCAAGCTGATGCAATGGACTCAGGTGTTATCCTTGCCGATGATAGTGAATCGGAAGAGGAAGAAGAAGAAGATCTGGAAGAATTAGTGATGATCGATGAAAGTGATAATGAGGGCGGAAATATTTCCGAAATGGATACCGACCCCGAAGTTTGAGGTGATCAAGGAGACGAGTAGAGTTGTATAATAGTTAGTTCTAGTTAAAGTTAGTAGTCTTGTTTAGATGCGGTCTTGTGTATAAATTAGTAAACCCTATGTAATGTGTTTTGGAGTAAGCTCTTGTTGCAATTCAATAAAGACTTGTGAGTAAAGTTTAGTTTGTTATGAATAGATGCGTCGTACGCGGGGTTCGCATATTCCTGGTACTTCACAAGATGAGGACGGCATTCTTGATCCGCCACCAGTTCCACCGAATCTAGCTGATGCTATCGCCGCCCTTGTCAATGTGACTGTTAAAAATGCTCGATTGCTTCGAGGGATAGCTTAGAGTAATCAGAATATGGTGCAAGGAAACCATGGTCGTAATCATAATAGGCAGGAGGCTACGTATGTAGATTTTACAGATACAAGACCATCGGTGTTCACCAAGGTAGATGAACCACTAGAGGCTGATGATTGGCTTCAGACTATGGAGCAGAAATTTGATCTTATTCCCTGCACGGAGATTCAGAAACCTGTGTTTGCCACCCAGCAACTTCAAAGAGCAGCAGGTGCTTGGTGGGCAAACTTAGTGGCTATGCAACCAGTTTGCATTCCAATAACTTGTGTGGTTGCCGCAATGTAGAGCAGAAGAGGTTCTCCATCGATACGAGGAACCAGGATCGGGGCCTTCGTTAGAAGCTGCTTGACCGTGTCAAGTGCCTCCTTGGCCTCGGATGTCCATTCGAAGTGGTCGGCCTTCTTCAGAAATCGATAAAGGGGGAGACCTCATTCGTTAAGGCACGAGATGAAGCGGCTAAGCACAGTGAGGCACCCTATAACTCGTTGTACCCCCTTCATGTTCTGAATCGGGCCCATCCTCGTGATGGTCGAGATCTTTTCTGGGTTGGCTTCTATGCCACGCTCGGAGACGATGAAACCGATCAGCATACCCCTCGGGACCCCAAAAATGCACTTCTCAGGATTGAGTTTGATGTCGTTTGCTCAGAGTTTTGTGAAGGTCTACTCAAGGCCGGTTACGAGGTGGTCAGCCCGTTTGGATTGGACCACGATGTCGTCCATGTAGGCCTCAACGGTCCGCCCTATGAGGTCCCCTAAACACTTGAGCATACAACGTTGGTACGTAGCCCCATCGTTCTTCAGACCGAACGACATTGTGATGTAGCAGAACAATCCAAAGGAGGTGATAAAAGATGTCACGAGCTGGTCGGACTCTTTCATCGCGATTTGATGGTACCCGGAGTACGCATCAAGGAAGCAGAGGCTTTCGCACCCTGAGGTAGAGTCAACTATTTGGTCTATGCGCGGCAAAGGAAACAGATCCTTTGGGCATGCTTTGTTTAGAATTGTGTAGTCAACACACATCCTCCATTTCCCACTCTTTTTTCATACAAGAATAGGATTGGCTAACCACTCTGGGTGGTACACTTCCTTGATGAATCCGGCCGCCAAAAGCTTTGTGATCTCCTCGCCGATGGTCCTACGTTTCCTCTCGTCGAAGCGACATAGGCACTATTTCATCGGCTTGGAGCCTGGGTGGATCTTCAAGGCGTGCTCGACGACTTCCCTCAGAATGCCCGGCATATCCGAGGGTTTCCACGCAAAGATGTCTCTGTTAGCACAGAGGAAGCCGACGAGCGTGCTTTCCAATTTGGAGGAAAGCGTGGTGCCAATGCGCACCACCTTGCCCTCGGGGCTGCCGGGGTCAATGAGGACCTCCTTGGAGCCCTCCACCGGCTCGAAAGACCCGGTCGACCTCTTGGGGTCGGATGCTTCTTCGGCAACCTCCTTCCTGAGGGTCGCGAGCTCTCTAGAGGCGACGATCGCTGCGGCGTGATCGCAGCACTCGACCTCACACTCGTAGGCACGCTGGAAGGAGGTGCTGATGGTGATGACCTCGCCTGGGCCTGGCATCTTCAGCTTGAGGTAGGTGTAGTTGGGGACGGCCATGAACTTCGCGTAGCACGGTCGTCCCAGGACGGCGTGGTAGGTTCCATGGAACGCAACCACTTCGAAGGTGAGGGTCTCCATCCTGTAGTTGGACGGACCCCCGAAGGTGATGGGTAGGTCGATCTGCCCAAGCGGCACGGCCTGCTTTCCAGGCACAATGCCATGGAAAGGCGCTCCGGTTGGCCGGATGCGCGCTCGGTCGACACCCATAGCGTCGAGCGTCTCGACGTACATGATGAGTCTGAAAAACGTACATGATGAGTCGGATGTGCGCAGCTAACTATGCTAACTGAGGAAAGTCTGAAAAACGAAAACAGCTAGCCTACTATACATATCCGGCAATAGGCTTATCAGTCAACAGTGTCATGTGTTCTAGGCGCTCCAGCGTGGCTGAGCTTAAGGCCACCATGGTGGTTGGGCCACTGATGTTCATGGTGAAGGAGATCCAAGACCAGAATAAGGTGATGGAGGGCATGGTGCAGCAGCATGAGATCCTCTCAAACGTAAGCTGCCGGCGGTATCACAAGCGTTCTCTGACAAGCCGGCAGTTGCGAAATTGTTTTCTGTAATAGTAGCATGTGGCATCATCTAGATAGTGATGTATAGACCAACACCCAAAGCAATGTTATGTTACTGATCATCCAATTGGCACATGAGATGTCATCTTCAGTGATACGTTTTTACGACTAATGATGTCCTGAATATATTTCTTTACTGTGATAGGACAAAGGAATTAACTGAATTATATCCAGCTGTTGAGCTCTCTCCATCCTACGTGAAAGCATCGATGGTGATGTATGAAACCGTGAAACAAGGTGGGTACACCTGCCATCCTGCTCCTGCCCCCGAAGTTATATTGACCATCGATTGTGGCATAGGATGGCAGCATCATCATTGTTTTAATGACTAATGGTACCGTAAATGATATCATATATATATATATATATATATATATATATTATTGTGTAAATGGAACAACAAGTGGAAGATTACTCTATTGACTTTATATCCAGCTGTTGAGCTCTCCCCGACGTGCGTGAGATCATCTCGAAAGTTATGTATGAACCAACACCCAAAGTTTTTTTTTTGAGTTTTGCTCCAGTGGTCCTTTCCATAAAAACTGCACGAATCTTGAAGCATCCAAGTAATTGGTTTAATTAATTTTGAGATGGGTATTATCCTCCTCGACCCAGGCCAAGCCCAGCCCATGCCCATCAATTATTTTGGATCTCATCCTCCGATCCGATAGGCACGGGTCGGCAAGTTTTTATTTTGACTCGCGCATGGCCGCGGCGCAATCATCCCCGGCCTTCCTCAGGATGCTCGATGAAACACAACACGAATGGCACGCGTTCCCTGGTTGCCTGGTTGGAGCATATGAGACGACAGTGTATGGCCAGCATGCCAATGAGCTGGGCGTTGATGTAGGTCAGTAGGTCGATCGCCAGCTTGGACGTGTGAGGTTGTTGCGACGACGGCACCGGCCGGCGAGCACGCGTTCGGTTGATCTTGGGGCCCGGTGTGGCTGTAAGCATGTATAGAAGACGCTTGGAGTCAACTTGCTCATGTAAGGTACCACTCCCCGTCCGGGTGTGTAGCCGACCAGCTGATCCTGGACGAGGTCCTGCAAGGACCGATAGGGTCACGGCCATTGCCGGCGCACCGAGCGACAGGAACTATCTGGATGGACGCCATGACCCATGAGGCGCTTGGAGTAGGATGCGAACAGGAAGGACGTCGAGCTCCCGTACTACGTACAGGCGAAGCTGCCTCCCTCTGGGCGTACCTGACGCTCACCGACGACAGCGAGGCCGGAATAGCTCACACGAACATGTCCGCGCGCGCTGGTCCTGTGGGCATGGGCGGGCCACGATCTATGGAAGGGTAGGGCCGGGCCAAATAATTATCAGGGCATAATTAATTAAAATAATTACTTAGATGCTTTAAGATATGTGCAGTTTCCATGGAAAGGACCATTGGAGCAAAACTCTTTTTTTTTAATAAATGGACAAACAATGTAATATGGATCATAAAATTGGCACAGGATGATGGCATGCATCGTCAGGGTTTTTAAGGCTAATGATACCATGAGTACATTTTTCTTTCTGTGAGACATCCCAGAGATTTTTCACTACTGAAAAAAGTTTTTCACGCATGGCCAATGATAGCACATCTATCACCTTGACTGATTCCGGTCAACCGCTGGGCACCGAGAATCAAGATGATTTGTGACTAGACTAATCTTGCGCTCCCTTGTCAACCGCTGGGCATCGAGAATCAAGATGCAAGTGGATGTTTTGTAGTGCAAAACGCACATGCTCTCACATGGGTCGGTTAATCTATGTGCCCCGATCAGTCATCTGTCCAGCTGTCAACGTGATACTAGTTGTCACTAAGCAAGGTCAGAGCTCACATTAATTATCAGTTCCCATTTTCCTCAAAATCAGTTGCTGAACCCATCCTCATCTTCATCCTGCAACCACACTTCTCTGCGTACACCCTGCCCTCGCGTGTGTTGTGTGTTCTAAGCGCTCCGATGGCAGAGGTTCTGGCCACCATGGTGGTCGGGCCACTCGTGTCCATGCTGAAGGACAAGGCCTCCAGCTACCTCCTGGACCAATACAAGGTGATGGAGGGCATGGAGGAGCAGCACGAGATCCTCAAACGCAAGCTGCCTGCCATCCTGGACGTGATCGCTGACGCAGAGGAGCAGGCCGCAGCCCACAGGGAAGGCCCGAAAGCTTATGGTCCTTCCTCATCACAGAGATGCATGTATTTAGGTTCAAATTCCGACCACAGCCACCAATGCCTAAGGACTGGAGGCAGACAGAGTCAAACATCATTGACCACCAGGAAATTGCGAGCAAATACAGAGGCAAAGAGAAGGAAGAGGTTGTTAACAAATTGATTGGTGATCAAGTGAGCGACTCGCAGCTTATGGTCCTTCCCATCGTTGGAATGGGGGGCCTGGGCAAGACTACCTTAGCTCAGCTTGTGTACAATGACCCTGGAGTTAAGAAGCATTTTCAGTTGCAACTATGGGTATGTGTCTCTGACAACTTTGAAGTTGATTTAGTAGCTAAAAGTATAGTTGAAGCAAAAGCAAAAGAGAAGAGCAACAGTGATAAAAGTGAAAAATCACCACTGGGGAGCAGCAGTGATAAAAGTGAAAAATCACAACTGGATAGACTTAAAGAAGCAGTGAGCGGGAAGAGGTACCTCCTTGTCTTGGATGATGTATGGAACCGTGATGCCAATAAGTGGGGAAAGCTGAAATCCTGCCTACAACATGGCAGCAACGGCAGTGCAGTGCTGACAACAACTCGTGATCAAGTAGTTGCTAAATTAATGGGCACAACTGATGAGCCCTATAGTATCACAGGATTACATGAAGACTCCATCAAGGAAATTATTGAGGCAAGAGCATTCGGTTCAAAAAAGGAAAGGGATGCTAAGCTCGTTGAAATGGTTGGTGCTATTGCAAAGAGATGTGCTGGATCTCCTTTGGCTGCTACAGCCGTGGGATCTCTACTTCGTACCAAGGCCAGTGTGCAAGAATGGAAGGCTGTATTGAGCAAAAGCGCCATATGCGATGACGAAACTGAAATTTTACCGATACTCAAGCTCAGCTATAATGGGTTGCCATCACATATGAGGCAATGCTTGTTGGCCCCTTGATCACCGGCACGGGTGAGCCTACCACTCACCAGCGATGCCGACCACACACTATGGCTAGAGGTAGAAGAAGGGAGGGAGAACAGAGCACACTCACACACAACACAAGCACCAGCGTTGGCCGAAGCTCTGCAGAGGAGATGGCAAAACTAAACTCGCTCTTTTTACTGAGTTGCAGTGGAAAACTATATATACAATTCTACCCATCTAATTCTAGTACACAGACATGTCAGGCTGCCATATTGCTACAGTGACTAGATGTGACAGCAGAGCAGACTTTGACGCCTGCCCCTGCTGTGACTACAATGCCAAAGGGGAGCCTTTCGGCGTCTGCCCCTACAGCAGTTACAGTGCAACAGCAGGGAGCCTTTCGGCGCCTGTCCCTGCCGTGCGTTCATAGAGGGGAGCAGCAGATTATTTAACAATGCTTTGGATGGCCAATGGTTTTATTTCAGAGCAGCATGGAGTGAGTCCTGAGATCACTGGTAAACAAATCTTCATGGACCTGGTGTCAAGGTCATTTTTTGAACATGTGAAGGAACTCCCATTTGAAGTCCATGACAATAAGGCTCCTAGAGTTACTTGCAAGATTCATGATCTTATGCATGATGTTGCACAGTCTTCTATGGGAACAGAATGTGCTACCATATTTACAGAGCCAAGTCAAAGTGAGAAATTTCCATATTCTGCTCGACATTTATTTATATCTGATGATGTACCAGAAACGACTCTGAATGGCTGTCTAGAGAAAGGATCTATGGCTGTCCAAACACTGATATATGATGGACATGCATATGAATATCTGAAGCATTTATCAAAATACAGATCTATTCATGCATTAAGGATCAACCGAGGTTCATTCTTAAAACCAAAGTATCTGCATCAACTAAGGTACCTTGATCTCTCGAATAGTAATTTTATCAAAGCACTTCCTGAAGAAATAAGCATCTTATATAATCTGCAAACACTGGACCTTTCATACTGCGGCAATTTGAGACAACTTCCAAAGGAAATAAAGTATATGACTGCCCTCCGTCATGGATGTGAAAAATTAAAGAGCATGCCTTCAGAGTTTGGACGCCTCACTTCCCTACAGACGCTTACATGCTTTGTAGCAGGTACTGGCTCTGGTTGCAGTAATGTGAGAGAGCTTTGTCAGTTAGACCAGCTTGGTGGTCCACTAGACCTAAGCCAGCTAGAGAATGTGATAGAAGCAGATGCAAAAGCAGCAGACCTTGGGAACAAGAAAGAGCTATCCCGATTGACATTGAGATGGACGTCGTCTCTAGAAAAGGAGGAAGAGGAACAAGACAATCATAAGGTGCTGGAGGCCCTCAAGCCTCATGACGCGCTGAAGGTTCTAGGTATATATGGCAATAGTCGCGGCACTTATCCAACATGGATGAATACATTGCAACAAATGGTGAAGTTTACACTATCGGATTGTGAGAAGCTCAAGGAACTTCCTCCACTGTGGCGGTTACCAGCTCTACAGGTTCTCGAGTTGTGGAGATTGCAAAGTCTTAGTTGCCTGTGCAGCGGTGATGCACCCGTCACGCCGTTTAAGGAACTGAAGGAGCTTTCTTTGGACCGGATGCTAAACTTTGAGACATGGTGGTTCCTAAATAACAAGGTACAAGGAGAAGAACCAATATTTTCTCAGGTTTGTTGGCCCCTGGATTTTCCGCACGGGTTAGCCGACCGCTCACCATCGTTATCAACCACACACTACGTCTGGTGAAAGAAGAGGGAGGGAGAACAGAACGTGCACACACAGCACAACCACCACCGTTGGTCGGAGCTCTACAGAGGAGATGGCAAAACTAAACCCACTCTCTTTACTGAGTTGCAGTGGGAAGCTATATATACAACTCTAACCATCTAATCATAGTAAACAGCCATGTCAGGCTGCTATGCTGCTACAGTGACTAGATGTGACAGCAGAGCTGACTTTTGCGCCTGCCCCTGCAGTGCGGCAGGGGCGTCTTTCGGCGCCTGCCCCTGCCGCGGCTACAGTGCAGCAGCAGGGGAGCCCTTTCGGCGCCTGCCCCTACCGCGCGTACAGGAGAGAGCAGCAGATTACTTTATAATTCTTCCCTTAACCCTAAAATCTCCACCATGCCGATCATCTTCTTTAGCTCTGTGAACCGAAGACGGCTGAGGGGCTTGGTGAAGACGTCCGCGAGTTGCCGACTAGTTTCGATGAACTTGATAACGATGTGCCCTCCATCGACATAGTCCCTGAGGAAGTGGAACTTGACGTCGATGTGCTTGCTCCGGTCGTGGAGAACCGGATTCTTCGCGAGGGCGATGGTGGGCTGGTTGTCCACCATCAGTGTTGGTGGGTGAGCTTCCACACCGGTCAGCTCGCCCAGCAGCCGGCGCAGCCACATAGCTTGACACGCCGCTGTGGCCATCGTCGCGTACTGTGCCTCGCATGTGGACAGCGCCACCACTTTCTGTTTCAGCGACAGCCATGAGATTAGAGCCGACCCGAGGAAGACGAGCACGCCAGAGGTGCTCCGCCGTCCGTCGATGTCCCCCGCCATGTCTGTATCACTGAACACAGTGAGCTGCAGCCTACTTCCGTCGGTCTTGGGGAAGACGATCACCTGATCCACCGTCCCCTTGACGTAGCACAGTAGCCGCTTCACCGCAGCCCAATGATCCTCTCGGGATCCTCCATGAAGCGGCTGACGTAGCCCACGGCGAACGCAATGTCCGGCCTTGTGTGGACTAGGTAGCGCAGACCACCGACGATGCTCCGTAGAGTGTTGCATCTACCTTCGCCGTGGTACTAGCCTTTGTCCGCTTCAGCCGCTCCTCCATCAGAGTTACGCACGGCTTGCACTCAGCCATGCCACTCCGCTCCAATAACTTCGAGGCGTACGCACTCTGACCGAGCAGGAGCGCCTCCTTCCCCTGTCTCACCTCGATGCCGAGGTAGTAGGATAGCGCGCCGAGATCACTCATTTGAAAATGAGCCACCATCTTGTGCTTGAAGCTGTCGATGTCCTCTGCACGCGCGTCGGTGACGATCAAGTCGTCCACATACACGTCGACGATGAGCTCCTACTTCCCCATCGCCGTGTGTAGAGCGTGTGCTCGGTTGCGCATCGCGTGAACCCAAGCTCGCCTAGCGTGGCGTCAAGCTTGGCATTCCACGCTCGCGGAGCCTGTCGCAGCCCATAGAACGCCTTTCGCAGTCGAAGCACCCTGTGCTCCACTACCTTGATGGCGAAACCCGAAGGTTGCCTGATGAAGACCGTCTCCGCCAGCTCGCTGTTGAGGAAGGCCGATTTTATGTCCAGGTGATGGACGCACCAGTCCTTCGCTGCTGCCAAAGCCAGCAGTAGTCGGATAGACTCCATGCGCGCTATTGGCGCAAACACTTCCTCGAAGTCGATGCCCTCGAGCTGGACAAAGCCTCGAGCGACGAGGGGCACCTTGTGCTTGATAATGGTGGCGTGCTCATCCCACTTGACCTTGTACACCCACTTCAGTCTTCAGGCCAATCGGACGGCATCTTGGAGGTGGATCGACGAGCTCCCAAGTCTCGTTTTCCTCGATTGCCTTCATCTCCTCCAGCATCGTTCGTCACCAATTTGCATCGCGCTCAGCCAGCGCGAACATAGGTGGTTCCTCTACACTGACGAGAAGCAGCTCTAGGTCATTGAGCAGCTGACTCGCTAGGCCTGAGGACCCTATGCCGCCGGCGATGTTGTCCAGCCTGCAGAACCGCACCTCCTCACCGTCATGGAAGGTATCCACGAACTCGGTGATGTCGCTTGGAGGTGAGACGAACTTGATCGGCGTCAATGGAGTCCCCTGTTCTGCTGGAGTGGTCGGCACAGCACCTGGAGTGCTCGGCACCACCGCTGCAGTGCTCGACATTACTCCTAGACCGCTCATCACCACTCCTAGAGTGGTCAGCACCCCTCCCGGAGTGCTCGGCACTAGTCTTGGAGTGGTCGGCACCACTGCAAGACCTCTCGGCTCCTCTACGGGAGCGTTCGGTACCCGTCCTGGAGTGGTCGGCACCACTGTAGGACTGCTCGGCACCACTCCTGGAGTGCTCGGCACCCCTCCTAGAGTGCTCGGCACCATCCCAGGAGTGCTCGGCTCTGTTGCTGGAGTGGTCAGCACCTCCTCTCCAGCATCTCCACCACCGTAGATGACCAAGTGCTCGATGACGAAGGTGCTGGTGAAGCCGCCAGCTTCCCCCATGCCCGGACTGTCCCAGTCTCAGGCTGTCTTCTAATCGAACACGATGTCACGCGAGACAACCACCTTGCCTCCACGTGGGTCATAGAGCCGGTACGCCTTGGTACCTTTCTCGTAGCCTAGGAGCACCATCTGTGTGCTCCTGTCCTCCAGCTTGGTGAGGACCGGCTTTGTCTTTCTGACGTGGCCGATGCAGTCGAATGTTCGGGGGAAGGACACGCTCGGCTTGCGCCCATATGAAGCTTCGAACGGCGTCTTGCCCTTTACGGCCTTGGTGGGCGCGTGGTTGAGGATGAACACCGTCGTGGTCACCGGCTCACCCCAGAACCTTGTCGGCATGCTTTTGGCCTTCATCATGGATCGAGCCATGCCGACCACCATCTGGTTCCACCGCTCCACCACGCCATTCTATTGTGGCGAGTATGACATGGTGTGGTGTCGCACCATACCCTGATCCGCGCAGTACGCAGCGAACTCCACCGAAGTGAATTCACCGCAGCGATCAATCCACAGCACGCGCAACTTCTTGTCGCTCTCCGTCTCCGCACGCGCCTTGAACTTCTTGATCGCCTCCGCTGCCTCGTCCTTGCTCGTCAGGAGTTGCAACCACATATAGCGACTGCAATCATCCATGAGCAGGAGGAAGTACTGCCGACCACCGTTTGTGGCAGGCGTGATTGGCCCGCAGAGATCGCCGTGGATGAGCTCGAGAGCATCCGTCGCGCGATACTTGGCCGCCTTTGGGAACGGCAGCCTCCTTTGCTTCCCGGCCAGGCAGCTGTCACACAGCTCGCCTGCGTGCTTGATGTGGGGAAGCCCTCGGACCATCTTCTCTAGTCGACCGAGCGCGTCGAAGCTAAGATGGCCAAACCGGACATGCCATAGCCATGGCTCCTCGGTGTGCCATGCTGCCAGGCATACCGGCTGCTCCGCCTTCAAGTCGAGCAGGTACAATTGATTACGTGAGCGTTTTACCTTCGCAAGAAGACGCCGCTCTTGATCCCGAATCTTTAGGATCCTACTCTCGATCAGTACCTCGCATCCGCGCTCGTCCAGCTGCCTGATGCTGACGATGCTTGAACGCAACTGTGGGATGTAGTACACATCCGTCAGCGCGTGGTGCTCGCCATTCTGGCACCTAAAGATGATGGTGCCACGACCTCGGATCTCCACCCTTGAGTTGTCACCGAACTTCACCGTGCCGGTCATGTTGCCATCGAGCTCGGAGAAGGCTGCCTTGGAGCCCGTCATGTGGTTGCTGGCGCTGGGGTACAGGTACCACCGCTGCTCCTGCTCGCCGCCCACACGTCCGAGGTGGACTTGGGCACGTGGTTCGTTGAGGTTGACAGCCTTCAGAGCCTTGCCGTGCCCTTCCACCGTCATCACCTCTCCTTTCTCCTTGGCCTCAACGTCATGCAGTGCACAGAACGTCGTCATCAGGAGAGTGGTTTCATCATCCTCATCAGCCTGTGCTAAATGAGCCTCAGCCTTCTTCTTCTACTTGCGATTTGGGCACTCTTTTGCCCAATGGCCCGTCTTCCCACGGCGCCGGCAGGCGTTGGGGTCGACCTTCTTCTTCTTCTCCGAAGAAGTCTTGCCACGGTGCTTGCCATCGCCACCGCTGCTGGAGGAGGCTTCCCCGGACTTCTTTATCCGGGCAGCCCACTCCTCCTCTGTCAGCAGCAGCTTGCCGCTGTCTGTGGTTGTTGTGGCCTGCTCCATGCGCTCACCCACCGCCCGCAGATGGCCTGTCACATCCTCAATGGTAAGGGTGGACAAGTCCAGCATCGTCTCTATGGAGAGATTGATCTGGATGTACTTCACTGGCATGGAGTGGAGGTACTTGGAGACAGCCTCTTCTTTGTCGATGGTGACGCCGTGGCTTCTTAGCTTGCTGATGAGCGACTGCAGGTGGAGGGAGAAGTCCTCCACCGACTCACCATCCTTGAACTTAAGGGTGGCGTACTCCTGCTTCAGCAGCTGGGCCGTCGCCTTCTTTGCGCGGTCGGAGCCGACGCGCATCGCTGCAATGGCCTCCCACGCCTCCTTAGCAGAGTACTTCATCCCCGGCGGCTCCCTTTACTTCGCTGGCACAGCAGCGAGGATAACCTCCAACGCTGACATATCGTCTTCTTCGTTGTCGGTGCCTTTGTCAATGGCATTTCAGAGCCGTCGGGCTCTGAGCTTGACCTTCATGGTCACCGCCCACTCGCCATAGTTGATGCGAGTCAGCGTCGGCCAACTGGTGCCGTTGACCTCCCGCACCGTGCGCACGACGACCTCCTGTCGTGGCTGGGCAGCCACAACAGCGCCGCTGCTGTCGCCCATCTCCAAACCGTCCGTCAATGCCAGCGGTTAGTCTGGCGACGGCGCTTGTACGATTCTAATACCAGTTGTTGGCCCCTGTATCTCCCGCACGGGTGAGCCGACCACTCACCGTCGTTGCCGACCACACACTACGGCTGGTGGAAGAAGAGAACAAAGCGCACACACACAGCATAAGCACCAGCGTTGACCAGAGCTCTGCAGAGGAGATAGCAAAACTGAACTCACTATCTTTATTGAGTTGTAGTATGAAGCTATATATACAACTCTACACATCTAATCCTTATACACAGACATGCCAGACTGTCATGCTGCTACATTGACTAGATATAACAGCAGGGCTGACTTTGACGTCTGCCCTTGCTGTGGCTATAGTGCGGCAAGGGAGCCTTTCGACGCCTACCCCTGCCGCGGCTATAGTGCAATAGCAGGGGAGTCCTTTCGACGCCTGCCCCTGTCGCGCGTACAGGAAAAGCAGCATATTACTTTACAAGGTTGAGAAGTTGACAATCTGTGATTGTGCAAGGCTGACTGCATTACCAAAAGCATCAATTATTAAGGAACCTTCCGGCGGAGTTATTAATACTGTGTGGCACTCGGCATTTCCAGCGCTGAAGGAATTAGTATTATATGTTTTGCCAGCCTTTCAGAGATGGGAGGCAGTCCAAGGAACTCTAGGAGAAGAGGTGACATTTCCTCGGCTTGATTAGTCTCCCTGAAGCTTGCTACCTCTAGGAGAAGCTAGTAATTTTGTGGTGCCCAGAGTTGACTAGTCTCCCTCAAGCACCAAATCTAAGGCCCCGTTTAGATCCAAAAATTTTTGGATTTTGGTTCACTGTAGCATTTCGTTTGTATTTGATAATTAGTGTCTAATTATGGACTAATTAGGTTCAAAAGTTTCGTCTCGCGATTTCTCACCTAATTGTACAATTAGTTTTTTTTTTATCTACATTTAGTACTCCATACATGTGCCGCAAGATTCAATGTAGACTGCGTAAAATTTTTTGGAATCTAAACAGGCCCTAAGTGTATTGAAGATCCGACAAGGCAATCCACAAATGGCCATAGAGGTAGCAAGCTGCATCATCACTGCTTCGTCGTTGTCCAAGGGCACGTTTAGTTCCTCCAGAATCCAAATTTTGACACTATATAAAAAGAAGATTTCCCATCACATCAAATTTACGGTACATGCATGGAGTATTAAATGTTGACGAAATCAAAAACTAATTGCACAATTTGGTTGTACTTTGCGAGACGAACGTTTTAAGCCTAATTAGTGAACGTTTGAACAATTATTACCAAATACAAACGGAATGCTACAGTAACTTTACCGGCGCCAAATTCGGGCGCAACTAAACGAGGCCCAAACCGGTCGTGCATATCGATGACGACAGAGAAGCAGCATGGCTGGATGGCGACAGCTTGCTTCAATTGGTGGATGGTGAGGAGAAACGGAATCACAATAAATCCCCTTCCCCTCTCACGGTTATGGACTTAAGCGGGTGCGACGTTTTCTTCTCTCAGTCAAGTGCTCTGGCGCTTTGGGCATGTTTAGTGAAGCTTGAGGATTTGCAAATTCGGGCCTGCGATGCTCTTGTCCACTGGCCAGAGGAAGTGTTCCAGAGCCTGGAATCCTTGAGGAGCTTAACAATTTGGGGATGCCACAATCTAACAGGACGCAAACACGCTTCTTCTGAGCAGTCTATGCCCGAACGGAGCTGTGTAATACTGCCACGCCTGGAGTCTCTGGAGATACGAAATTGTGCATGTTTGGTAGAGGTCCCACCAGTGTGCTACCCAAGTCATTAACTATTGACGGATGTCCTAAGCTGGAGTCCATCGCATTCAGTAAGCAGCTGGATACTAGCATGATGTTGACGAGTGCACAAGGTGTTGCTGCAGCACAGGACGACAAATCAGCATTAATTCCAGGCTCGGGCTCCTGCAGCGACGCCACGGCATCCACGCCAGTTGCTAAGCTCTCATCATCAACCAAACATCACTTCCTTCCTTGTCTAGAATATCTAGACATATCTTCCGACTGCGATGGCTTGTCAGAGATTCTTGATCTTCCTCTGTCCATCAAGACTTTGAAATTTAAACAATGCAGCAAACTTCAAACCCTTTCAGGGCAGCTGGATGCCGTCCAAAAATTAAAAATCTGTGGACTGCTGGAGCTTGAAATCACTGGAACCTTTCTTAGTAGAGCTCGCAATGCTGGAAAAGCTCCGTCTTTGCAATTGCGAAAGCCTGGTGTCCTTACCAAACGGGCCTCAAGTATACTCATCTCTCAGGTTTCTTACTATCATTATCATGTCCTGTCCTGGTATAAAGTTACTTCCCAAGAGCCTACAGCAACGACTGGGTGATCTCAAGGACGAGGATAAACATCTAGATGACCATCATTATCAAGGTAACCTTCAATTTCTCTATCTTTTTAATGAAATGTTAATGAGTTGTAAAAAGCAAATATTTGACTTACCGCATTCTATTAGTTACAAAATATATGTTATGCCATGCCCCAGTGGTAAAAAAAAGGAAAGTTAATGGCTACATCGTTTATTACCTTGCTTCTGACTGCAAGTTGAAATCAAGTAGTTAACCCAACTTTATTTAGACAATATAACATGACATCCCAGATTAGTGCTGCCAAATTGTGTATTAATATCGATTGCAGAAATTCCCTAGAATGTATGGTGTACATAATGTTGTTACAGAAACTAAGTTATTATTGTTGACTTCGAAAAAAAGCATCATATGTACATAGTATTATATTGTGAAGGAAAGTATGACCACTGCCTCCTAATTACTTGATGAATTAGAGCTTCTGAAAAAAAATGTGTTTGAATCTACTTCAGAACCTACAGTTTTTACAGCACTATTTTTATCTGTTATTTGTTTCCCTTGATGAAAAGAAGCACCTAAAAGCCTTAACGCAGGTCAAATGATCTAACTCAAATGACTGAAACATTTAAATGGTTCTTAGGGTCTGAACAAAAAAATAAAAAAATGTTGTAATTATGGAGATTTAGAGCTAAATAAAGCTTTACCTGTTCTCTGCAAGTTCACAGATACTTTGCATATAGTTATATTCTTCTTGCACTTTACATACAAAGATAATAATTTTAATTTTGAAAATATCATCTATGATCAGAGCTAAACTCTTGGAAATATGCTATCAAGAGGCACTTTTGTGCTTGAAACATGCTATCAGCAGTCAAGACTTTTGCTAGAAGTTGCTTCAATTCCATGATGGTGGAGAGCAGGCAAGTTGATTCCTTCGTAATTTGGACTCCAACACTAAGTGTGGTAATTAAGAAGTTTCAGTTATGGTCTCAATTGGGCCCAAGAAAATGATAGTAGTTGTGATCCACAAACTACATTACTTTCAGGAGTAGGCATATCACCATAGTCCAGCAATCCAACTTATCTTCAAGGACACTGGGCCATCTAAGCTTTGCTACAAATTTTTAGGGAATCGAATGCTGTTTTCCTTACTGACTAAATCACAAAAAGATTGGTTTTGCATTGGAAAAAACCTTTGTACGATCCAAACTTTTGTATTGAAGAGAAAATTTGCTGCCTTGCTTAAGATAGAAGGACAACCGTAATGGATAGCCAATTGAGAAATTATTTCTGTATTATAATGCTAGTGCAACGAGAAATAAGACATTTATTAGGTTTGTACTTCCTGTCTCAAAACTACTTAGATCCTGATTTGCTTTACACATTAGTTATTTCTCACTTGCAAACAATGGTATTGAATTTGCCTTTTGGGTCGTAATGTTTCCTTTTCCCGAATGTTGCTGAATTGGATCTCAACTCCTGTAGGTTGCTCTTACGATTATGGATTGTTTGCATTCTCACCGCCAGTCACCAGAGATGCTAGTATATGTTTGTACAACCACAACCCATCAGAGAATCTCAGACTGCCATATACTATTGTTCCAGCTGCCATGCATTGTTGACAATGGTGTAAAATTCATAGCTGTGATTCAATGATCGTCAGCCGAGTGCGGCCTAATAATAATGTACAACTTAAAAAACTTGCACCCATCCTTGTTGTCTTCAATGTATTAGGCGTCGTCGGTTACTCAATTCCAATCCATTCAATCAGAAGCAACAGGCAGCTGAAGCTATCAACATTTTACCTGTTCAGCTAATAGCTTGTGTAAATTATATTTGCAGCATGCATACAAGGATAGGCAATACTAATGGATTCATATTCTGCTACATCCTACAAATAGGGTTATTACCGAAAATGGTCTGGGGCAGATTCGCATCAATCGTTGTACTTTAAGCTCTCACAAAACTGTTAACTTCTCTCAGCATAACTGTTATGGGAAATTCTTCTAAACATTGCATCAGCACAATAAAGGCAGGCATACATCATAGTCAAAACTGATAGGACAAACCCTGGATTCAACTGCAGTATGTAGCATGCCATTGAAACAATAGCATCTGCAGGCCACAGCAAAGATCATAGATACAATTGGATGAGCTCATCACTAACAACAGAAGGCGTCAGAACACCAAGATCCGTCAGGAGAAGTGTGAGATATTGAGGAGGTGTGTAGTCTCTTGCAGATGTCTCCACTTCCACCCCAGTGGGTACTGGGACTCCAAAATCTATTGGTCGGTGAGCTGGTGTCATGTCCTTCTGATCCAAGGGATATAGCCGAGCAAACTGCAAGAGTGAAAAAGACACAGGCAACATTATCAGAGGATAATTGCATGCAGCAGCATCATGTTAGAGTGACAAATTGACCATCAAAATACACAACGTTAGTATCATAATAATAATTATAAGGTTTTAACTTCCAACATCAACACAAAGTGTAATAAGCTAATAACTGAAAATAGTCTTAAAGGTTATAAACATTCTCTAAGAGCATCTCCAGGAGTTTGGTATAGTTTACTTGCCACACTAATAAATCTAAGTTAACAGAAGAAATAGCAACCTTAAATTTTGTCTCCAACAATCTCCTATAATAGCATCCTAAACGATTTTGCATTGGGAACCCCCGAACTATTTGTAACCAACCAAACCTTTTTTTAATAGTTTCTTTGTCTCTTACCGCTTTCTCACTTGGAACCATTTATTTTCTTAATTTATCATGCATCCAATTTACTCCGATCTCCCGAGAAAACGACAGGGCAAAGAGAAGATAAGGAATTAGTCTCAACTGGGAAAACTTACAAGTTGGAGAGGATATTTGACAACTTTTTATTTTTAAGGAGCCCTTTTACCAAACTGTTGGAGAGCATTTTTTTCCCTTTTTGCTAAAAAAAATCAAAATAAGGAGTTGTTTACAAAACTCCCAGAGATGCTCTAACAGATTTCATATCATATCATGTATTCAGCAAGAAACATTGTATGTCACTAATAAATTCATTGCATTCCAAAAGTAATGATGCAAAGCAATAACATGAATGAAGTACAACACCAACAACAACAACAACAAAGCCTTTAAGTCCCAAACAAGTTGGGGTAGACTAGAGTTGAAACCCAGCAGAAACAATCAAGGTTCAGACACGTGAATAGCTGTTTTCCAAGCACTCCTATCTAAGGCTAAGTCTTTGGATATATTCCATCCTTTCAAGTCTCATTTTATTGCCTCTACCCAAGTCAACTTCGGTCTTTCTCTGCCTATCTTCACGTTACTATCCTAGCTTAGGATTCCACTACGCACCGGTGCCTCTGGAGGTCTCCGTTGGATATGTCCAAACCATCTCAACCGGTGTTGGACAAGCTTTTCTTCAATTGGTGCTACCCCTAATCTATCACGTATATCATTGTTCCGAACTCGATCCCTTCTTGTATGACCGCAAATCCAACGCAACATACGCATTTCCGCGACACTTATCTGTTGAACATGTCGTCTTTTCGTAGGCCAACATTCTGCACCATACAATATAACAGGTCTAATCGTCGTCCTATAAAACTTACCTTTTAGCTTCTGTGGTACCCTTTTGTCACATAGGACACCAGATGCTTGGCGCCACTTCATCCACCCTGCTTTGATTCTATGGCTAACATCTTTATCAATATCCCCGTCTCTCTGTAGCATTGATCCTAAATATCGAAAGGTATCCTTCCTAGGCACTACTTGACCTTCCAAACTAATATCTTCCTCCTCCCGAGTAGTAATGCCGAAGTCACATCTCATATACTCAGTTTTAGTTCTACTGAGTCTAAGACCTTTGGACTCCAAAGTCTCCCGCCATAACTCCAGTTTCTGATTCACTCCTGTCCGGCTTTCATCAACTAGCACTACATCGTCCATGAAAAGCATACACCAAGGGATGTCCCCTTGTATGTCCCTTGTAACCTCATCCATCACTAAGGCAAACAGATAAGGGCTCAAAGCTGACCCTTGATGTAGTCATATCCTAATCGAGAAGTCATCCGTGTCTCCATCACTTGTTCGAACACTAGTCACAACATTGTTGTACCTGTCCTTCATGAGCCCGACGTACTTCGTTGGGACCTCATTCATGTTATTGAATGAAATAATATATTAACATTACTTCATTCAATAACATGAATGAAGTAATGTTAATATATTATTGAAGTACATTATCATAGCATACATTACCTTGTAACTTTCAGCTGCCACATAAACAGGTTTGTTCATACTATAAGCCACAAGAGCTATCTGATAAGTGCCCATCATATTGATTATGCCTCCACTCTCAACAACCCCATCAGCACCAACAAATACCATGTCAACTTCATCCATAGAATAAGCAACAGCTGAATCAATTAGAACCTTAACAGGGATGCCTAATGCTGCAAGTTCATTTGACATTCTTAAACCAGTTCTGTCTGGCCTGCCCTCTGCAGTTCAATAAAATGATAAACAGACATTACAATTATTAGGGTTCAGAACATGTTATTTGCACGTACTAATGGAGTAATAAATGGATGCATGTATGCTTCCTATTCCTGAAGCAAGAACAGCATTAAGCCAGAACGTAAAATGTAAAATCATGATTCAGAACTGATTATAGATGACACAGGCCTTCCTTAACAGTTGCATTATAAAGGACTCTTCCTCTCTTCATTTATTAATTCAGGGTGCATAAAGTTCAATCCCCTATTCAAGTAGCATGGAATTCCTAAGTCCTATGAAGTTCGGCAGTAACACACAGGCATCTGCCTACATGTAACAGCTATAGCCATGTGGGAAGCAACTAGAAAAACATGGGATACCAAAATTTGATGTAAAACTTCAGACTTTCAGAGTGATATGCATCATGATGAAAACTACACATCAGCTAATGATAAGAATATACCTAATAAAAGTACAAAAGAAATTTAGTTTCAACCATTTTGATGCACTTTCATGCAATCATGGTTTCAAAGGTGACCCAAGGCGAGTTGGGTACGCCTCATCACCTAGGTGACAAGGCGTAACTAGGCCCCAATGAGAGTTGGGTCAGCCCAGATGCCTAGACAAGGCCTTTGAAATATAGCACTAGATGCAATGTATGTGTATGCCATCATCAAGCTATCTGTGTAGAAACAGATTATCACATCTTGCAACTAAATCACTATACCTGTGCATAGTACCCGGAAGAGCTTGCGATTGGATGCAGCAAGCTTTAGAACTTCCAATACTACCCTGGAATACCCATGGACAAGTATAGTACACCCATCATAAATGAAATCCTGGCTAAGCATTGCAATTGTCTTGCGAGCCTGAAAAAACATCACCCCCGAAGCATTAGTAAAAAAAGGCATGAATTCTTGGACAGAAACTAGATAAGAATCGGGAGGTTTTGGATATGCGGATAACCTTTAAAGATATCTCTCCAAATTTTTCTCCTCGCTCAATTAGGCGTGATTTTGCTGCATCAAACTTCTCATGCTCCAGATGTGATGTCCTCGTTACAAACCGCATGAACAAATCACAAGCAGCAGAAAGAGAAATGGATGTAGCGTCCCAGGACTGAAATACATAGGCATTTTTTAGTGTCAATTCCCATAGTTAGAAAATACACGCGAAATTAAATCCAGAACCAGGAGCAGCACAATGAATGATATGTCATTCACAAGGATAGATCGAAACTCCAAGAAATATGATAAAAATATGGTGGTAGAAGATATTAAGGAAGACAGTGCAAAAAACAAGAGGTGACATTAAAGTTCAGGAATGGATGGGCACGCAACTCAAGCTTCTCGTGGTGGGGTCAGTACTCAGTGATTATAACAGCGTAATATGAGGGCTTTTGTGTATTACAGTGATTATGACAATCAAGCGTTTGGCTTTCCAGACTTTCATTGAATCAACTATACAAAATAAGTCATTCAGAGCATGGTAATAAAGGTGAGACTGTGCCACTAAAAACTCGGGCAGAAATGCTAATTAAGGTCTGAGCCACTTTTATGCAAACGGAATTTCGATTTACTGTCCTGCTTAATAACATGACCACAGACAGCGTCCAATAACGTATAAGCACAGCAAGCGGGAACGACGGAACAACCGAGCAGGTGAAATCGGCCGGGCTATCAACCTTGAGCTTATCAGACGCCTTCTTGAGCTCGATCTCGAGCTCCATCATGGTGGTGGCCCTGCTGGAGCGGATGACGGCGGCGAGCGCCATGATGGCGGCCACCGCCTCCGCGGCCTCGGGCTTGCGGCGCCAGAAGTTGAACTCCTCGATGACGCCGCCGCCGGCCCCGGGGGACGACGGGGGCGGGGGCAGGGCGGCCGCGTCGGCGGCATCGGCGCCGGGGGGGAAGGCTGCGGCGGCGGCGGCGGCGTGCGCGAGCCAGTCGCTGGAGACGACGGCGTGGTGCTCCGCGCGCGTCTGGTAGTAGGCGGAGATGGGCGGCGGGACGGGGCTAGGGTTTTGGGCGGCGTCGGGCTCCATGGGATGGGAGCAGGCCAGGCCAGCAGGGGGGGCAGAGGATGAAACGAAGCACGGGGATGGGAGAGCTGTGGGCCTGTGGCTCCGTGAGAGATCATCTCAACCGTCCGTTTACGCTCCAGCCGAGAAATAGTGTGATTTTTGTGATGTGGAAAATTGTTGGCACTTTGGCAGTGGCAACACGATTTGACATTTTTTTGCCTCACGAGTTGACGATGAAAGAAGGGGCAGTTTAACTTAAATCCATCCATGTTTCTAATGTAAAATAAAATTACTGCTCTGGCTGGTAAATTGAGCCGGCATAATAATCATAAGCTCTCGAATTTCAATGTAGGCAAAGTGGCCTTGGAAGTCCATTGTTGGCAGCTGTGGCTTCTCGAGTTCCCGTTTAGCATACATGATACATATAGTACATTTATAACAAAAAAGGCAACAGTGGCCATTTAGTCTAGTGGTATGATTCTTGCTTAGGGTCCCGGTGGTCACGAGTTCAATTCTTGGAATGCCCCTGATTTTTGTTATCTTTTTCAGTTTTTCTTCGCTTTTTGCTTCATTTTTTTGCCCGTACGTTGCTACGGGACAGTTAAACTTTTGTACTAAAAACATACGGATCGCATGATAAGATAACAGTACTGTGAAATTAAATATCAATGTTAAAGTAACATTTAATCAAAAATACAAAGTTGGTGAAATTAACAGTCACGAAGAATATTTGCGTCCAACGTTTGGGAAACCATTTGAGAAACACACGGATGTAACTTATATATATGCGTCCAGCATTTGGGAAACCATGTGAATCAAATATAGTTGGCCATGCTGCGTCAAATTTGCATCAGGACTGATGGTCCTGAGCATCTGAACCTCATCAAACTTATCTGCTACTGCGTAGTGGATTCAGAAACAGGTAAGCATGGAAAAAAAACAGCTTTGAGGATTCAGAAATAGTGATGGTCAAGCTTTCTCTGATACGCTTTTCAGTAGCTGATGTTCTTTTTTTCTAGACAACTGAAGACATGTACTAATTCATAAACTGTATTTTAAATACGCAAGCATGATTTATATGTCTAAAAATTAGCTAATGGGCAAATGTATAATGTTAACGTCATACTCACATGCAGCATAGCAATAGGACAGAAAGCAAGGAAAGAAATGGGATTTTCACCATATATACCGGATTGAAAGTAAAACTAAAAACACTAAATTGGAGAATATTTGCTGGCACCCAATGAAAATATTTGGTTTGTTGGGAACTACATTAAAAACTGCAGCAGTAGTCGATTATTAGGGCACTCCCAATGCAGAAACAACCATAGGGTCTGTTCGCTGGTTGGTGCTGATGCTGGTTTGGGCTGGCTGGTGCTTGTTTTTTTAGAGAAAAACATCGTTGGCTGGCTGGTTTGGGTTGGCTGAAACCAACAAGCGAACAAGCTGATAGTTTCTATGGACATTAATTGTACTGCCACCTAAGCATTTTGCTGATGTGACAATGTAGTTATTGAAGAGAGAGAGCAAAAATCATAGAAACCGGATCTAAGTTAGAAATCATGTCTACACGAGAACCAAGACACGAAGGGATGTGATTGGTAGAGAATGGAGAGAGAATATATGTGATTGGATAAAAAATTGTTCTGTAGAAACTATCCATTGAAACCATAGTTTCTATATATATAGTGTCTACAGAAATCAATAAGTAGCATTGGGACTGCCCTTATAGGATAAAATATTGAACATTGCCTATGAGTCGTCAAATGTAAACAGGACTTTAGGACACAAAACTACAGGCAATCACTTTAACCATATTTGGGCTTAAGGCACAATGACCATACATGAACAGAAAGTTGAAGAAAATAGTAGGGTGTGAAAATTAAAGCACATGGCAGACAGTATTCAATCAAATGGGAGATGTAATCGAGCACTATTATGCAAGTAGATCAATGGAATGTACAAATGGTATTAATAGCCAAATATATGGATTTTCCAATGGCAAAAGAATGATTGATTCACTTACGCCTGTAGTCTGCATTTATGCAAACATTTACCTAGGTTGACAGGCTGACAGCAGCTTGTTTAGTCCATCAAAATATATGGGTCATGTTCTATTAATTGACACAACCTGAGGTGAAGTGATGGCAATGGAAAAACTGCTATCTCATGTTTATAAAGCCTAAAGGGCGACGCACAATGCCTCTTCCTCGCGGCACAGTTATCTGCGGGTGGGGGATTTGGATGCTGCCGCCAGAGCCTCACACGGAATCACGATCGAGGCCGGGGTGTGGCCCCTGGAAAGCAGAACAGCAGCGACCGGCGAGAGGGGCGGCAGGGAAAAGATTTGGAGTCTGCGGCTCCGCGCAACCTCGTAGAATGGCAACAGCACATCCAGCGTAGGCCACAAAGACTCACCGGGATCACAGAGCAAGTGCAGTGGGCGAGGGCTCTATCTAGCTCACGCTAATCGAAAAGGCATTATTGAACTCCCACCTTTGTTTTTAGCAAATTTAGCGAATGCTCTGCCATTTCATTATAGGAGAAAGCAGCACAACAGTTCAAAGAAGCATGATCCTAGTTTACATAGATAAGATCAACAACAACAATAACATAGCCTTTCAGTTCCAAGCAAGTTGGGGTAGGCTAGAGTTGAAACCCACTAAAAGTCCCAAGTCACGGTTCTAGCACTTCAATAGCTTATTTCCAAGTACTCATATTCAAACATAGATCTCTAGATATATTCCAAGCTTTCAAAAACCAAGCTCCGACATAGATAAGAAGAAAAGAAAAAAAAATAGCTTATACTTGCTAAAGAGTCAGCGGTTTTTGCGTCAGCCATTGCTTGTTTGAATCAGTTACTACTAATTGCATTATTAGTAGGAGTAGCAGCCGCCGCTAAGAGTAATCATTTCAGTTCGGGCATCAATACTTGTTTGAATCAGTTACTACTAATTGTTTGAAATAGGGTGTGATTACACTGCTACTTTCTTCTACAATAGTGTTCATGAGAGCGCAACATGCTGCACACCTCGTTGTCGTCTTCTACATTCAAACCAACCTACATAACAGTGAAAAACCTTCAGAAAAAAATTCAGTAAAAATATATAGGTATGCAACTAATCAGGCAGCATCATGTATCATCAAGTATCAAATTTACAACCATAAGATTTAGTTGTGATAATGCCCACCATTTCCTGGTACAGTAAGTATAAGCAGATTTTAACTGAAATATGTACTACAGGCTACCGTCTGAGATTTGCTCTATGCATCAATATTCAGGGTAGCACATTTGAACTAAAATATGTGGAAGTCAATCGGCTCGAAAAAGCAATAATGTAGCATGAGTATTAGCATTGGTAGAAGTAATAGTGGTATTACTATTAAAAATGACCACAACAGTATTTTTTTGGGTATCAGTATTAGCAGAAGTAGGCATTTGGGTATGTTTACCGTTAGTGCTAAAATGTTAAAAATATTGTATATTATTGTTAAGAGATGACACCAAGGGTATTAGTCATACTATCAGTATTCATCCCTTTTAGCATTGTATTAATATTAGCAGTTGTAGTAGTAGTTTATGTGATCTTACAAGTAAAATTTAGAAGCTGAAGTATTATTAGATGCAAAAAGTATTAGTTGCACATCAAGCATTGAGAAATGAAATTACTATCCAAAAAAGCAGTATTAATGTTAGTGCAATGAGACATCCATACTTGCCAATAGCAGTAGTAGTATTAGTGGTATTACCATTGGTAGTGTCAGTAGTAGTAGAATTAGCAGTAGTCTGTTTTTTTCCAGTATTATCAGTAGCAGGCTTTCGTGCAAGTTTACCATTAGTACTAAAAATGTGGACTGGTAGGAAAAATGGATTTTATTGACAATAGATGCAGGCAACTGTTATAGTAGTACTAAGAACTAATCAGCAATACCAAAATCAAGAGATCTGCCGCCAAGCATGTTGTGGAACCCGTCAAAAGCACAAGACTTCGGGGATCCACTTAAGGAGTATGATGCTCCTATTTACCTATGGGCAGCCTGTGCTGATTCATGCACGTCAATGAGATAAAAAAAATACATATTAACTTGAGAAATCTAGAACTATAAACTACCCGTTGAGCATAAAGAAGAAACTCTGCTTGTCACTCTGTCTCACCAAACTGAATGCTTGTGTTAGTATCTGAAACTAAATTAGCATTTATTTTTGTTATTTCCTGAAACTAAGCAAGCAATCCTTGTGTCCAATTATTCTCCATACTTAGTCCACAGAGAGTAAAGATCATTTAGATTTCCACTGCTGCATTTCATAGTGGAAGGCATTTGTAGACTCATAAGAGTAACTTTCAGTCCATATGGACAAGAACTGGATAGAGGATAATTTCATCCATCAGCGACCATATAATAGGACTTAGATCACAGGTTCAGTAGAAAACAAAGGGACAAAAAGGGACGGGTGCCAGAATCATGCCAATCGATTATAGTAAAACCACCACTAATGGACACCCAGAATATTCCAAGGATTGCTGCATCTTTGGATGAAGAACTCTTGAGCACACAACAACACACCGGAGCACAGGACCTAGCGAAGCAACGCACCGTGACAACGGTGTGACAAACAGATAAAAAGCAGGTGCATTGGGCATGGAATAAAGAAGAGAATGCAAGACAACACCTGAATCATGACATCCATCGGTTTGGCTGGCAAATAAGCAGAGAGCAGTGATGCTATTAAATCTGAACTATAAACTACCCGTTGCTGCATTTGCCAAATGACAGGCATTAATATTTTTTTGGTTATACAATGCCTTTGTTTGTTCAGCCCGCCTGTAGCATCAAGCATAGAAAGATACATACTGCATATGACCAAACTGGACTACAGTTACAGGCCTACAAGCGCAAGCCTATAATGGTCACAGAGATCAGAGTTCCTGGAACTACTCTCCCTGTAGCAGTCTTAAGTGCACACATATATTCCATTCGTCTCTTCCTAACACAAGTGCTAGGAACATTCAGAGCAAAGA